GTGCACTAGCTGCAGTCGAGCTAGGCCTTTTTTATTCAAACGAGTCAACAGGCTCATTTATATGTGGAAGAAAATAAAAAGAATGTAAGAGAAGCTACAATGATTCCAAAGATAATTTCATAATCATATCAAGCTAGAATGGTCATTTAAACATGCAGCTTAAAATGCTTCTCCAGCCTATTAACTTGTAGTCAGGTTAAAACGACATAACTTTTACCATGCAAGGGAACAGTCACTAAAAACAATAAAGTTTGACTTTATTCTTTGGAATTTCACCCAAAGAGTTTCAGCTATTAATTCACTCTGTTTTTTTTTTCAAAATACATTTGAACCACTCCTATATTTATTCTTATCATTAACCCAGACGCCTTTTATAGACTATGACAAAGAGAAGGGATTTACATAAACAAATGTTTGATTGCAGACGTGATATCATGTCTGAATGAAATGAAGCGGTTATGTAAGAGCCTCACCCTGCTGTCAGCAGTTGTTTCTAAACAAATATTTCATGCAAGCTTAGCATTTTAACATCCCTCTGCTGGATTTAAACACCTGACAGATCAGGCTTAGTGAATGTGCATAGCCAGTGTGGAAAAACACAAAGATCCATCTCACTTAAAGGTATAGTGGAGTATTTTTATGAATAAAAAAAAAAACAAAAAAAAATTGCTGTTTGATTTGCTCATACAATCTGATTTTCCAGAAGAACATTTGCAATCTTTTCACCATGTCAAACTCACCACCGAGCACATAGGACGGCCTTGCGTAAACATATCACCAGAATGATTGACAGTTAGGAGGACCATTTATCTTGATGATCCACCCGGAAAAAGAACACCCTCCACTATACCTTTAAGGCTTAATAGATACTGAGAAGAATCTGTCTTTGTTTAATTAATGTTATCTTGACTGTGGAGTAGCTAACGGCCTTTTTTAAAGTAGCTAACATCAATGTGACATTCAAAACTAGAAAAGAAAAAAGAATTTGACCTATGCAGCATATCTGGGTGAAATGCTGATCTTAATCCAATGCTTTGTCAAATCTTTGAGCCAAGTTCTCCTTTTAACACAATCCCAGACTTACTAGCATACATGAGACAATCAAATTAACTCTGTCCACATTTGTTATACATCATTTTCTATCGGTCACCTAATATACAAGTTCTTCTGAGAAAGACCCCTGAAATGAACTTTTTCTGTAACCAAATGCGTTGAGTGTGGCTGCAGAGCGGAAACAATACCATCCGCCACAGAGACAACAAACCTCACATTGAAAACAGGGGGGAAGAGAGGCATAAAGGACACAGTAAAAAAAAAAAAAAAAAGGATGTCAGTAATGAACATTTCTGGCATTCCTCAGCTCCAGGGATTTTCTGTAGGGGAAGCAGTCCATCCAGCAAAGATCGACCAGACTAGGACCCTGCAGGAAGGCTTGCTCTCTCCTTATTGGCTGCAGCATCGCTGAAGCGGCTCAGAGCCAAAAACAGGAGGAAGAGAACATTAAAGCAAGAATTCAGACAAGCACTGATATTGTTTAACCTTACAGGGGTGAATATGAAGAAGAAAGAAACTCTGCTACCTTTATAAGTATTGTTGCTTCCTCTTTACAGAATGCTGGCATTTCCTGTTCAGAGAAGCTGGTGGATATTTATGGAAATCTGACCAAAGGGAGCATTTTTTTTTTTCCTCTGTGATACTGGGATGCTGTTAATAGGTATGTTGACTCAAAAAACAGATGTTTTTTGAGCAAAGTGGGCCACAGCAGTGCGTCTTGGGATGCAGAGTTCTCAGCATTAAAGGTTAAACAGACAAACCAAAAGGTACAACAGAAATAACACTGGAAAAAAACAAAATCTAGATAAGTAATTTCTTCTTAAAATTAGTGTATTTGTTCTTCAATTGAGGAGATAAAAGAGACATTTTGCCAATGGAACAAGACAATTTACATTTAAAATAAGAAAATACAATTGCATTGTCTTATTTCAAGTGCATATTATCTAATTATCTTATTTAAAGAGTAAAAATACTCATTCCATTGGCAAATCATGTTATTTATCTACTCAAATTAAGGGTAAATACACTTAATTTAAGACATTTTTACTCATTTCTGGATTGTTTTTACTGTGAACCCACGAAGAAAGATAAATCCGGTCAGTTTATCCCTTTATAATGAAATAAACCTAAGATTACGTCAGTATGTCGTTCATGTAGCCTGTGGTATCATCTTTGTGTTAACATGTTTTGGGCCTCCCGCATTTAATGTGAAACTTTAACTCATCTTGATTCATAGATAAAACTTCTATATTTCATTAAGATTTTAAACATTAATCAGTTTTAATTTTAAGTTTTAATAAAAAAATGAGCAGAATCTAATTTTTATTCAATCTCAGACATCTACACTGCCCCCTTTGGTAAAGATGTATAAATGCCATTGATTAAAAGTTTAAGCATAAATTGCACACAGAATAATATGATTATTCAGAGCTCAGGTCCAGTTTATCTGTCAGTTATAAATCCAAATTCTTTTATTCTTCCCTCCTTTTTTGATTTGTAATTATGAAGTTTTTCATTCTGAAAAAAAAAAAAAAAAGTCATTCCAATATCCTAACATAAAAAAAAAAAGTTTCCCCCCCCAAAAAACAAATAAAGGGTTTAAAACTTTATAAACTAATTTCATTGAGGTAAATTCATCCGATTTCTAAACAAACTGGATTTGGTTTAAGAGGGGAAAAAAAAACATTTTTATTGTGAAGTTTGCTGAGCTAAGGAGTTATATAGTTATATATGTTATATAAATTATTATATATGTTATATATGAAGAGTTATAATTCTTCACTAAAAGGTTGAACAATTTTTCTAGCATTTATTTGAAAAAGTGTACAAGGACAACTGTGTTTGATACAAAAGCCGATGTATTTTCATTTTTTTTCTTAGTACATTTTGCAATGCATGCCATAAACAAACATTTATTTTATATTAACATGATGTCCACACGGACAAGTGCAAACCTTCCTGAAATTCAAGAGCAGAAAACAACAGGAATAAGTCAGTTACTTTACAAAAAAGGGAATATCGTATGGATTTTGAACATTGAGAAAATGGTAGAAAGCTTTTTGTTTAGCAGACTAATCCCGACAACAACTCATAAACTTTGTACTTTCCTTATTCTCTGACATTCTTACAGATTTCTCTGATGGCAGGAAGCACATATTTATATAGATGCCGATCATGTGATTATGGTCTCAGTACAAATTAAACAATCGATCAGATGCTTTCAAACATCAAAGGTTTCCTCTTTGTTTGGACAAAGATGATGAAATCGAGAGAAACGAAAAACTTCCCAAATAGCTCCAAAAACGTCTTGTGCAACCTGTGCAATAGCCCAAAATGTAAGTTTAAACAGAAAAAAAGAGGGTCTGAAAAACATGGCACAATAAATTCAGAGGATATGGCAAAACCAGAGGGAGGGAGAACAGTTTGTATGTACAGTACACTGTGAAACAATGGATTATGCTTCACAAGCCTTTAATCCAACAGACAAAATAAAAAAAGTGCTCAAGATTGTCTTAAAAAAACAAATAAACAAAACAAGAATGCTACTTTATCAGCCTTAAACTCAGTTTTTAAGTGGCTTGAAGGTTAAGGGGCTGAGGCAATATGAGAAAAACATAAATAAACATAAAAAAACATTTAATGTCTGGCTTCAGCATAGGCACTGCCCTCTGTTCCATTTCCTTTCTTTTTCTTAAATAGAAGCAAGTTTCAATTCTTAACCGTCAAAGGATTACAGAAAAAAAGTATGTACAAGTCAACTGAGAGATAAATAATTCTGATACGTGACGAACGAATAAGCTGCGACCCAGTCCAACTGGCTGTGTGGGTGAAAAGAAACGGTGCCGGGAGGGAAGTAGACAGTGTGCAGCTGAGCTCGGTTCAGTTCTGTCACTTATAAGGCAGCAGGGCGGTCGTGCAACAAGGTCCTTGTGTGCCATTTCCCACTTTTTTCTGCTCCATCCTTCCTCGAATGCTTCTCATGTGCAGTTTTCCAAATTAGTTCAAAAGCACGGTCACAGAAAAGGCAGACGTATGAAGCCGCAAACAGCTCAGTTTAAAGACATCACAGCAGTAAAAGCTGCCAGGCAGGAAGCAGCCGCAGCGCGCGGGCCCCTGAAGCTGCAGGCTCACTGGCTCTCAGCCTCTGCTCCATGGAGTTTGGATAGACCTAGTCCTTCACCACAACATGGGTCAGCATATCAGCTCCTGCTTTATTTCGGGTCGTGTGGGGAAAGGCGGCTCACTGAAGGAAAAGGCATCGCGGCCCGCCTTTAGTCCGCCTTGACCCGGACACATGAGGAAGGATCCAAACGGTCCCAGCTCCGGGGATGGAGCCGGGCTCTCAGGCTCCGATTCAGACTGGCTCATCTCGGGCTCATCCAGGGAGGATGCCGATGTTGTGTGGAGGTGCGGGTGGGAATGAGGGTGGGGGTTCAGCCAGGGGTGATTGAGACATTCTTCTGCCGTTGCTCTCTTCCTGCACACACAAACACAATAACACTTTGGATGAGTGGAAATTCCCACAGAGTTTATATAACCATTGGGTGAATTTAATCAACTCACTCTGACATCGACCATGTTTCTTTTCATCACTGGGTTTTTAAAACCACATAAACAGAACTTTTTGCTCTAGAATGTTGTTGTTCTTGTATCATTGATAACAAAAATCCTAAGAAATACTTTCTTATCCCTCAGTGCTACCACTAATCTGTAGCAATTAAAATCATACTGGCTTGAGATTGTGGCTTTGGCTGTGAGGCCGACAGACAGAGTAGTAAATGAAGGGCTCTTTGCTGGAGCAGTCTAATTAGGGGAAAAAGGATGTTAATCAGAACTTCTTTCTCTCCTAGTTAAAAGCAAACTTAAACAACAGTTTAAATCAGTATCCAAATCAATGAAGTGTACATTTTCTTTTTAAAATGAAGTCAGCTTAGAGTTACAATAAGCAGAACGGGGAATAGAACTTCATGCCACAGTGACGTACATCTTGTAACCACACGGATGCAGTTCCGGGGGTTTGAAGATGACTAACTTCCTTGATGAGTAAATCCAGTTATGGTGATTCAGATAGATGCAGATTTCTGATTTCCTTCCCCTTTAAGTCAATACTACATTAGAAATCATTTTCTCTTTTTTTTTGAGAGCAAACCTACCATAGACATTGCTAGGAATTCAGACCTGCTGTCCTGAATGTCTAAGTGTACAGGAAATGACAAACATATACATGAAAATGATGAATGTTGGGAACTTAAGTGCTCACCTGGGGTTTTTCACCAATACGGACTTGATAAAGTCAACCGCCAGGGAGGAGATCCCTTCAAATGTGTCCTGGGAGTAGTCTATATTGACTTGAGAAATGTTGAGGAATGTCTCCTGCTTGTCATCACCCAGAAAGGGAGACTCGCCCGTCAGCATGACGTAGATCAGGACCCCGATGCTCCTGGAACAGAGAGAAGAAGGATGTTATGGGTCAAAGGTTTCATCTTTGATGGTGACAGATGCTGCGCAACTAATTCAACTTCCTCTCGCCCCATGGTTCTCAAACTACGCTGAACGACTGGTGTTCCTTGGGCTGCCCTTAGGAATTTCTAAATCTATTATTTACCAGGTAACTTAATTAACTGTGGCATTGAGCAAGTATAGTAAGTATAATCTGTGAAATAAGTTATTTCAGAACACTGTTCTTGGCTCCATAGGAAAGTTGGGGATTTTGCTAAATTTCTAAAAGCCTAAACACCAATAGCAAAACACTAATAGCAACATTTTGCAACAATAGCGACATAGAGAGGTAAAGTGACGAGATTTCATAAAATACAGATAGTCAGAAATGCAAATAAACCAATTTTCATTTTGTTCTCCATCTTTAAAATGTTAAAGAAACTATAAACACATATTTACTCCAAATTGTTAACAGTTAATAGAAAGCAAATATTTTATTAATAGGCGATTTGTTCTGAGTTATATATATTTCTATCAGTAAAGAACAACAACTTGATTAACTTTAAATCTGATTTGTTTTATGGTAGGGGTCTCAAATCTCAGTCCTTTAGATGTGTCCCAAGTCAAACAAACCCAAATTAAATGGCTGTTTCATCTTTTTTAGCATGTAATCCTGCTAATGAATTCATTATTGATTATTAGGTTGAAGCAGAAATCTATTAAGGAGGTGTAAGGATGTGCTTTTTTCTAAATTGCATTTTAAGATGTGGATACCTGAAAGGTTCTAGATTTACTGAAAATGACTACCAACTGAATATGGCCTCATGATTTAAAATGAATGAAGTGTAAAACCCTTACCACATGTCTGTAGCAGTGCTGATGGGTTCATAGTTCAGGATTTCTGGTGCTATAAACAAAAAACACAGGTCCAGTTAGTGACGAATCAGAACACAGAAACCTAAAAAGATGGACGTGAACCTTAGAATTTAAAAGCTAAAACCAGAACTCACCAACATATTCTGGGGTACCAAGAATCTCTCTGACCTCTGAGATCTTGTCCATCCTTCTGGACAAGCCAAAGTCCACAATGCGAATGTCCCCAAGGGGCCTAGCGCTGGTCAACAGGATGTTCTGGGGCTGGAGAGGAACACGCAGAAAGACATTTTGTTACATAATGACTATATATACACACTTAAAGTGCTCTGAGCTCTTCCAGCTGCCGTCATCGACTGTCTGTGTGAATGAATTCAGGGCATTTTGGCTAGCTAGTCCGGGGAGGATTAAGGGTGTAGTTCACAAGCTTACAGGTTGCTGCTCTGATCTTAGATAATCCACCGAGTCTATTACATACCTCCTGGCCACTCATAGAAACCACTCAGAAGGTTTGTTTATGGGATGTAACACATGAATACTTCTACGCTCAATTCTTAAGTTTGCAAAGACTAATTTCAGTTAATGTATCATAACCAGAATCTTGCTGAACACATTGTTACAGCAGGATGCATTGATGCAAACATGATAGTTCTGCTGAAAACAACTGGAGGGCTCCTTCTTTAGAGGAAAAGGGTCATAAGACACTGAAACAGCTCTGGTTGCATAACAGAAAAACCATCTTTGTCACACTACCCCTCCAGGGCATCAATGTCCTATAAATCCATCCTTACCTTCAAATCCAGGTGGACGACATTATTTCGATGCAGGAAGGCCACTCCGTTCAGGATCTGCTTAGCCAGTCGTATTACATCTTTCTCTGTGAAGGCGTCGTCGTTATCAGCCACACACTGGTCGAAAATCTCTCCACCTGCAGCACTGTAAAGAAAGCACAAGATGTAATAACATGTTGATCATTATTGGTAAAGCAATTCATTTGTTAGACTTTCACAAAAAAGGACTAAATGGGCCCAATTCTCAGTTCAAAATCACATACATTGAAGGTAACACATGCAATCCATTAACTTTCACTATTTAACAAAAATCTGTTAATCTTTGTAAATTGGCCTAAAATAACAAAGTTAATCATATATAGGATCAATCAATAACATTTTAGGCACTATGCCTGGGACTGTACCTTTCATCTCTTAGGTAATACCATGGAGATAAGAATGGGTTACATGAGGTGAGAGGCCCAGATAGGATCTATTACAGCCTGATATATGACTATTGAAGTAAGTAAAATGGGAGGAAGAAGCAGAAGCCAACAATGCACAACTAATCAGAGCTTAGAACATTCATGAATACAAAAGGAAATGATGTTAACTCTCTATGATGACATATAGAGGGAAGGCTGCAAAATCTCAACCTTGCTACCGAAGAAAGGAATCATTCATTATTGTCTAACGTTTTCAAAGCAAAAAATCTGACTCTTGACGACTATTAATGTTCTTGTGTAACATGGTTAGGTAAAACGGAGACATGTCGGATTTATGTTAGATATCAGAGATCAGTCAGATTAGAGCCTCAAGCTGAAAGGTCTCCCCCTTCAAAAAAATGAAACTACAACCATGTGCTGCGGATTTAGAAGGCACACAGAATTTTTGTCCTCAGGGGGAACTTTGGGAGCCCGAGGACATGATGTTACATAACCAGCACCTTATTTTGACTGTAAAATGACCTATTATGCAAAATGTTCTTTTTTTGAATACTTAAACACTATCTCTATATCTAATAAAGGTTTTCAAAGCAACTAAAGCAAAGTTTAAATGGAGACCTTTTTTAAAAATAATCTTTTTTATACCAAGTGAAAGGAATTCAAGGTTTAATTTTACAGATTCTGTTTTATTTTCATGGTTAAAAGAGCACCCTTTGTCTTATTGAGTCACTTTTTCAAAAACTAAACTCAAATCTGTCAACATTCACTTCTCCTGAAAGCACTTAGTCTGTCTAAACAGTGAAGCACTCAAAAGGACTAAACATGCTTCACTGCCTTCATCAAACTGTCAACAGTGAGCCCTCAACAAATTTGCTATCTTGATAAAGTTTGTTTTACTTAATTTCAATAAAAACAACTTGTTTTAATCAAGAACTGTTCTGTTTTCATGTTGATGCACTCAATGTTGCTTTTAGAGCCACAGAGATTTACTTGGTGGGAAAAGGGACAAAAGAAAAAAATAAATCTGCATTTAATCTGCAGAAAAAGCTTTTTTGATCCAAGCAAACATTGGTGGACCACCGAGTTTAGCGATAGTTTATGTCAGTATGTTGCCATCTAGTGTGACCAAGAATAACCTAACAGCTGGATGGGTTTCCTGGACAATACTGTAACAATTCACTTGTCCATTGAGGTCAGAAATAGGTTGCTGATTGACACCAAAAAAAAAAAAAAAATGGGGGGCACAATAAAAAATTTCTCATGTTTTCTAAGAAATAAGAGAGTAAAAAAGATACATATTTTATTCAGTGAAGTTACTGAAAGCACTGCAAATCGTGAAAAAAACCCAAAGGCAAACATTACAGTTACAGTTTTAGGTATGCACGCAAAAAAAGGAAATGAAGAGCTGTTCTTCACGGAAAGCTGAGTCCACTGTGAATTGATGATTCAGTGGCCAAAAAAAAAGAAAAAAAGTACGCTAGAAAAGTCATTTGTCATCAAATGGACCATCTGTAAAGTGTATCGTCATCATGATGCAGGTTTCAGTTGAAATAACGCCTACTAAAGCTTGCACCTTTCAGGTTATCGGAGCTCGCCTCTTGTCATTTCTCTCTCATTTTGCACGGATGTGGTTGTGGCTATAACATGTACACGAGAGAGCGTGTGCAACATCTCACACAAGCACCGCGCTGTGCTACTTCTGGGAGCCTGACTTGAAGCTTACATTTAAACCCACAGGAAATGGAAAATGGGCTTGCAATTTTTCAGAACGAGGTTAGACACTTCAGAGATTCGAGTTCTCACTGGTTTATGAGTTTCACCTTTAGTGTTTCAGCAAGATTAAAGCCTTGTGTGCAGAAACGCTGATAGCCTCTGACATTTAAGAAACCACAGAGTATAAATATATATTCTTGCATGCAATAAGGGTAGCTAGAGACCCGCATTGATTGACCAGCTGTTATATTTCAAGCATGCCGAGTTCAACTGGGGCTACTTCCTCTTCATTAAGTGGTAAAACCCTGCTATAGAGTAGCTTTTGTTCTGCAGAAGCATGCCATGTCTGGAAGAGTGACTAGATAGAAGGTCCTTAGATTGGTCACTGAGCCATGCTTGAAAAGAGTCAGGAGAACATAGTTCAAGCATAACTGTGCAACGTCAACTCTCTCTAATGAGTTGAATGAGGTAGCTGCTAATTGGCCTTTCCAAGTTCTAATTGCACAATGTCCCTGTAGCAGCCAAGGGACAATTAGTTGTTACATCATTTAATGCTGGACAATAACAGTCCAGTCAGACAGCCAGCATGGCTCCACTGTTTTGATGTCAGCAGCTTGCTGCTTAACATGTGCAGTCAAGTGCCTTAAGCACTGATCAGCAGGTTTTAATAAGTAATCAGCGGTTCAATATGTAATTTACTCACGGTATCCTAACTGAAATGTTTTGGAACATTAGCATTTAAAGTGACAGTTCCTGTCATCTGAGCGAGAAGCTGAGACAGTGAGGCAACGCTGCGGTGAGCATATAACTGCAGAGAGAGAGAGAATTTCCATAAAAGGCAGACTGTATGCAACCGTAACTCAAGGTTGCGTTTTGGACACATGTCTATTCACAAGAGAACCCCGAGGCTTTGCACATGCAAAACACAGGATGTTGCATTAAAAAAAAAAAAGATTTGCTTTGACGCAAAAAGAAAAAACCTTTTTTACATGAACTGAAGAATGTGAGAACTAACAGACAAAGTTGCAACTGATGCAAGGATCTTAAGTGAATTATTGTGAAGACTGACCTGGCAACTGTCTGTGATCGAACAAGCTAGGAGAACTTTGTTTGCAAACAGAATTGGAAGATGCTTTTAAGTAGAGCATGCATATTTTCAGAGCATTTAAAGTGCTGACTTACCACTCCAGCACAAGGATAATTTCAGAGTTGGTTTCGTAGACCTCGTGCAGTCCCACCACATAGGGATTAGCCTTGGCCAACTCCAGCACAGCAATCTCGTTGAAGATGTCCATGCGGCAGTCCGCTCCCTTCCGTCTCTTTCGCAGAAACTTGGCAGCATACTGCTTTCCTGTGGCCTTCTCGGTGCACTTCTTCACCACAGCAAACTTTCCCCTGGGAATGAAAAGGGAAAGATATGAAGGGAATGATTAGCAAAGAGGCCTCAAAAATGACAAATGAATGTTTGTTTCTGGTGAAGCAGGCGATGAATTTTAGCAGAACAAAAGGAGCGGTTGTGGAACGCCACTGATAAGGCTGGACAGAAGTATCATTTGACAGCACGGACTGTTTAGTTGAAGGCTGATCTGCTCGGATGAGAAGGCGCCATCAGATGTTCAGTTCAGTTTCCCCATTCCCCTCATTTGCCTTCAGCCTTCAGAAAGCTCTGACAAGAGCCAGATAAGCCTGAAACTTTTGGCAAGTGCTGCTGAAAGTGGGCAAGGACCTGATAAGGCTGTAGGTCAAACAAAGAGAGTTGTTGGAAATCCTAATAGCAAAAAAGGAAAACGCCTAACTGAATAATATTATTAAAAATTCTGAGATAACGTTTTCTGCAAATTAGGTAAGAAAAAGGTGCAAAGGGTCACCCGTGGGTGCAGCAGGATGTCCGATGTGTGCAAAATTGCCACCATATGTCACACTGACACAATTACTAGCATGTACCTCCCCACACCCTGATAAAAAGGCCTTGTCCACTTCCCTTTCTTCCCAGCTGACAGCAGCAGGGACAAATGGAATAGTGTTGAGGCCTCCGCCCAGACCCTTAGTGAGACACTGATTCTCCTTTGACAACTAATACAAAAGCTGACCAGTCAGCTAAAAACAGTGGCCTCCAGACCAGGACCACCCACCCGACTCTGGGCAGACAGGGGGTAACTTGCTTTAGGTCTGTTGGAGAGTAATAAGCATGCAGAAACTGGACACTACAGTATAAACATTTATATCCAAAGAGGAACTCGACGTCTTAAGACAACTGAAAGCAGAATGTGGAGCTGAATATAAATGAAAACACCCGTCAGCACGGTTTCAGACAAATTCCCACACAATTTTAACCCGAGACCACTGTGCTCCTGACCAAAAGCAGCAAGTCCTTTGGCTGAGCTCTGCTTTGGCTTCTTTCTGCTGGGAGGCCCAGACTCTGCATCTCTTATGCATTTACCCAGCCATACAGAATGGTGATGTGTCACTGTTCAGCCAGAAAAAAGGCGAAAGCCGTCACAGCCTTTTCATACTTAATTAGCCAAGTTCAGATCTGCTGGGTGGGAACTACATATGGAGTGAAAAGAAGTGACAAGTGGAAACATAAAAGAGCAACAGGAGCCGTTTTCAGAGGTTGACAGCAGGTCAGAGGTCACTAAACAAGGCCATCTTCCAGCTGGCTATGCTCACACTTGTGTTTTAGATGCACAGAACCTTTTGGTATTATTTCAAACAGAACAGTTGCATGACTTTTTTTTTTTTTTTTTAATCAAATGTATATGTAAAATTAAGGATAGTTATTATGAAAAAAAAAAAACTTTTTAGTTTATCTTCCAACAGAATCTGTTAAAAAGGGACTATTATTCATCTCAGCTCAAGATTGACACTGAACAAATTCTTCTTTCCTTTTACAGATAACTTAATTAAGAAATCATCTTCCTGTTATGTCTGTGCTTTGTCTCCCTCAACAGGTTAATGACTCATTTTAGACGCAATGAGAACTAGCAGCTCTTGCAGCTCAAATGTTTCTGTTTGACAGACGGAAGAGAAGTTCCTCTTTCTGGTTTCAGGTCGAAACCCAGTATATTTTGTGCCTTCCTCTGAGGGGGGAGCTCACTTTGTGATACAAAGCATGATCATGATGCCTTAATGAAACAAAAAACAACCCTCATTTTTTCTCCAACTGGGGGCCATTTACACAAACTTAGAGTGGGGATATTAAAGCTGGCACCGCCAGCCTCTAATGTGGTAAACTAATGAATGTACTGGCTTTACACCTGATTTCCTGCTGTGCTTCTGCATACATTCCTTCAACTAATGCGATTATGGGCACTGATCTCAGGATGTTGTTAGGTTGAAATCATGAGAAATAGTAGGAGAGTTAACTGTTGCTTTAGAGGCATCCTAACCCCATTTATCAGTGCCAGTTAGCAGATCCCCCTAAATAATGCCAAGTAAGTTGCACATTTTACATAACAAAGACTAATAATGAAATGACAATTGTAAATATTGTGCAAATCTCAACTAAAATGTCTGAAGGAAAAAAAAAAACATTACATTAAGTTTAAAATAAAGACATATATTGAATGACTGTATGTGAAAAAGTGACTTAATTTAAACTTGATGGAAACAGGAAGTGCAAAAACTACCAAGAACCCAGACTGAAGTTTCTAGAAATAAAATGATCACATTGCATCAAACTGACATTTATCATTGCAAAAATAGTTTAAGATAAATCCAAGGCTCTGCTCACGAGACTGAAACTTTTACGACCACAAATTTGCACCACAAACGTGGGCATGCAACAGCAGGGGGAGTTTAAATACCCAGAAAGTGGTTTAGAGAAGGCAGGAAGGCTTCAGTAAAACAAACAATAAAACCGCTAAATCCATTCTACCTCACAACTCATCGAATAATATGTTTAACAATGAAATAATAGCGATAATCTGTTCAGAAACGCTAAGCCGAGATCTAGAAAAGCGCATTATCAGAGCGCGCGCCCCCCGGTGCCAAGCGCAGATGGACTGAGGCGCATCTAAAGTCCAAACGACGCGTTTTCTAAGCACGTGCAGAGAGTACATCAAAAGGGGCTCCATGATTTCAGATTATCGATGCACTGTTGCAAAGTCCGAGCCCTGAAGTAACAGCCAGACAATCAGCTGACGGATTTTTATCCGCAAAAAATGCGCAACAAAACAAAACCAGCTCACCTGCCCAGTTCTTTGCCCAGCAGCTCATAATTGGAAGTGAACGGCTCTTTTCTTATCTTCGTGTGGATTTCCATCATCATCCCCTTCTTGTTCATCGTTGCTGATTTTGGGACTGAAGTTGCTCCTTAAAATCAAACACCTTTTCCACAAAATTAACGGAAAAAGACAATTTTGGGCTCAGCTTAACCAACAACTCGCATAATAAGAAAGATAATTCGCTTTGGGCGAAAAAATGAGGTGTGAAAACACCAAGAGGCAATCCAGATTGAAAGTGTCCCCAGCCAAGTAGATGCTGCATATAGGAGAGTTTGACTGAACTGTGTGGCTGCAGGGAAAAAACTGCTAGTCAAGAAACAGTCCCAACTCCTGACGCGCAGCACTGAGAGCCAATGGGTGCAGTGAACTGGGCGGGCCCTCAGACCAGCTGGCAAATGGGGCCAAAGTGACAGACGCAGGTACAGTGACAGTGACACCAGCTTCTACTTTTTTTTTTTTTTTTTTTTACATCTGGGTTTAGTAACATTACATCTTATTTAAAGTGAAACTGGAGACAATATTAGTTTCCATCTTTTAAGCGTTTTACAAGCTTAAGGCAAATGTTAAACCTTTCAAAACAGTGTATTTTTTTATTCATTTTGCTTGCAAAATTAATTTTACTCTCTAATACTCATTATCTTTTTTTTTTATTATTTTATTTTTAACAGCTTTGTTCTCTTGTAATGTGGCAATAAGAATAATAGTCTTGATGCCAAAAAGAGCCCAACTTTTATTTTCACAAGTGGAGCAGTACGGCTTTCGCCATAGTGTTCCGCTTGATTTATGCATATAAATAGCTTTTTTATAATTATGCAGGGAGTTTTACAGATTATATGGACACTGCAATGTAACTACAACAGGAAGGGAAAAAAAGAAACAAAAAAGGAGAAACGAGGAAAGAAAGAGGAGATAAAAGGGAGATACTTGTTATCTAAAACACTGCTATGAAGCGTTTTTCTAAATTTACATTATATTGAGTTAAGATCAGGTTCTGTGACTCAGCAACAAAGGGTGCCAAGAAACAATCCTCCACATCATTGCAGTGCAGCTCCAACTATGAACTTTCAACATCTCCTTTTATGTTGCAGACCCCAAATTCTGACTGAATCATCAATTTTAGAACCAATTTTACAGCTTAAACTGAGATTGAATGGACCAAACAGTGATTTTTCAATCTGTTGTTTTCCAGACATGTGAACCTTTGTGAACCGTCGCCTGATGTTCCCTTTGTTAGCTTAGGTGTGGTCCTGTGCTGCTTTAATCATCTTTAAGGTTTAATTAACCTAATGTTCTTCCTTAATTCTAAGTAAATAAAGAAGATATATAACCCCCCACCCCACCCCCAAACCTCACTTTTCCATTAGATGCAGCAAAACACTGGCAATTTTATCCAAATATATCCAAAATTATCTTCAAATTTGTTGTTGGAATGTGTTTTATGTTCTTTTCTGGATTCTTGTGGTTTGTATTAGACAGGTGAGGCTGTTTTCCCACACCGTACTCTCTAATGGATTGACAGACGGTCTGAAGGTATGAGACTTCCCCTCACAGCATTTTTCTTATCTGTGGGAGAGTTGTTTGCCTGCTCATTGAACCTGTATGTCATCAAATAAGAATGCATGGCATCCAACCAAACAACATATCAGTGCGCTTCGGTTTGATTGGAAAAGGTGATACACAATGCTCAGATGTTCTTGTTGTTGCTTATATAAGGGCTTCACATAAAATCAAGAGCGGTTGGTATTCATGGCTCGCAAAGAGGGATGATGTGAGGATGACTCTGTGTTTATCGCAACAGGTTGCCAGGAGAAGTGTGAAACAGAGACGCTGGTCCTCTGACTAAGATCTGCTGACCTGAAGCCTGTGGCAAACTCTGTGACTCTTGTTTTGGTTGTTATGAATATTTTTGAATATGCTGCTAGGTGCATAATGTTTTTCTGACAGCTAAATGTCTACTAAACAAAAGTAGATTTCTTGATTTTTTTTAGATAAAAAATACAATTAAAAAAGCATCATATTTGTCCTTCTGAAATAAACATTTATTTTCCTGGGAACAGTGAATCTAGACAGGATCCCTGCTAGACAGACTATGCTGGTTGTGTGGCTTGTGGCTGACTACATAGCGAGTGGTAGGTCACATGCGTGACATAGCTGTTATCTAGCAGACAGAACAGGATTTGTTCAATCTGATCAAACTAAAGCTAATTTTGTCGCCATAAATAGCAGCTGATGTAAAAGTAAACAATTAAGAAAGAAGAGATTCCTCAGGCCATACCAGAAACGTAACATCCAGGGAAAGAACACTTACACGATATGTTCCATCTTCTCATATGACCTTATATTTAATTGATCCCACTGTGTTAGTCTGACCTTTTCTCTCTTGCAGTTCCTCCCACTAAAGCCCAGGTTTGGGTTCAGAGAAACCATGTTGGTGCAGGAACTACACCTGGCCCCGAAGGCCTAATAAAAACACACAGTGGAGACTTAACCTGTCAGTCTGTAGTTCAGCCTTGGGAAGGCTAAAAAAGGCAGGTCAGATTTTTTACAAGACTCGCGCAATAAATTAAAGATGGGGTCTGGTGCATAAAGATTGATATATAATTTAGCTCTTAGGACATTTTACTTTAATGGAGTGACTGTTTGTTGTTTTGCAAGCTGTTTAAATTCCAACCATGCCATCTGTTGATATGCCAGTTGTTATTTCGCACCGTTAGCTTGCCGTCCAGTCAACCTGATGAATATGAGCCATCTACAAGTTTGTGAAAAGTCCACATTTGCATAAATGTCAGATTAATTAAACTACTTTAGTGATGCATTTCAATTGTTTTGTCCACAGTGAAGCTATTTTATCTAACTAGACCAAACGAAACAAGGTCCTATTCCATTATCAACTTCTTTCAGCTAATCTGGAATGTCCAGATACCATCATGTTTTCAAGATAAATTGTTTGTGATTAGAGGAGGCAAAGTTTTACGTTTTTGGTGAAATTTACAAGAAGAAAGTGAAGAGGTGGTCGAAACTTAGACCACCGCTTTAAACTGTCAAGCATGGTGGTGGTAGCATCATACTAAGGGTATGTTTAGTGGTGCACTACAGAAAGTTATAAAAAATAAAACAGGACTACTGTACTCCTTGATGAAAAAAAAGGAGTAAACAGTTGCAACTAGAGAACATTGATTCCAACCACACATCAAAACTAGCTTTGATTCGCTAGAGCAGGCTACCAAGAAGGTTGACTGCAACAGTTGATAATGGTTTCACTCTTACTAAAAAGTCAGCGGATTTAAATGACCCTTGTAAATTTAGACAAAGAAAGCTTATTTTGCAACATGCAGAAGAATATTTATCCAAATATTAGTCAGATCTGTGCATGTTTGACCCAGAGTGGATGAAAGAAAATAATTACTTTATTCACAAACCTGTTTACCCAACTCTGGGTTTATAGAAATAACTGTTTAATAATAGTGTTGTTTTGTGATATCCCCCCCATTTAAGGAAGAACATTTCAAATAAATGATAAAATGCTCTAATCTGATATGATAGATTTGTACTGATGATGAGTTTCTGTACATTCTTTTTTTTATCTCTACCAAATTGTGAAAAGAATGCTTGCTGATAAATGCTTTACCATGCTCTGTCGTTTTGCCATCAGGGTTCTTTCTAAACAGTAAGTTTCCGTTGAAAATTTCCAGGCACATTTGTTGCAAATAAAACTCTGACAATAAACCTGGTATTATTTTAAGAATGAAGCGATCCAAGGTTGCATATTCAAATATTGCTTTATTAAAGTTTATGACTCTTTGTCATGCTAACCTCATCATGCAAAGTGGATATGTAGAAAGCTGCTGTAGAAAAGCAAAAAAGTAACAGACTGTGAGCTAAAAGGTGTTGTCCAGTGGTAGAAAAAATGACACCTAGGCTAAATATAAACTATCAGGTTTTCTGTCTGTCCCTTAGGTAAACCTATCAGACGGATTCTGGTTAAAGGATGTCCTCTCTCTGGTTTCGTTATGTTCACTATCATAAAAAATAAAAAAAGCAAGTTCTTGTTATGTAAGCCTTCCTTCTCCTTTGACAGTTTGACACAGTTCTGTTAAATGTTTAACCTTCCATCTTTATGAGGCTTCTAGAAGAGAAGCAAAGCTTTATCAAGATGTCCTAATGTGATAACGTCCAGACTCTTCCTGACCTAATTCATCTCACTGTATTCATTCAGATTTCCCTTTTTTAATGCTTTTTATTACACTTTAACGTCTCAGATCATCAAATAATTCAATATCCATCCATCTGCTCCTACTTATTCTGTCAGGGTCACGGGGAGGCGGTGCCTATCTGGCAGTCTGTTGGCGAGAGGCGGGTTGCACCCTGGACAGGTCACTAGTCAGTGGTTACATAAACAGATTCAAATAAAAATAATACAAATCAGAAGCTGATAGATGGTGAACAAGCATCTTAATGAAAATATTTCAGGTAAAGGTGATAAGATTATAGCCATAAGGGAGTAGGTGGTAAAAAAAAAAACTTTTCTTGAGTCAGAGTAAACATTTTTGTTGATATATCTCGTTACCTTTGTAAAACCAGGTACATTTTCTTGTTTGCCTATTATTAATTAATTTACTTTAAATAATAACAACAAAAAAAATACAGCAGACATTTGGAGAATTCTTCTAAAAAATCCTAATCTCTTGAAACAGAAAATGAATTCCTTCTAGAAACATCTCTATCCCTTTCACCACTTTGTGATGTGAAGCTTCCCTCAAAGCATCGTTTCATAAGAGCAAGAATCATTCTTTCTTAGGAAACGTTTCTTGCTGGTGAGGCCTAAACGGCCACATCTACAACATTGCAAAACACCCAGTCCATATCAGGAATGATTGCTGGCTGTCTAAATTCTCTGTTTATGCTTCTCTGCAGCAAAGCATTGTTTATGCACAAAGCAGATCCCACCTAATAACAGGCTTCTTCCTTTGAATGGCTGCTTGTTAATCTCACCTCAGTCTATAGGTGTTTCAAGTCTGCTCTGAGACTTCATGCGAGGTTGCAGCACAGTTGGATGTTTTGCAATTTGTAATTAACATGCAGCTGATGCCTGTAACTAACAGTTTCTTGGCCCTGAAATAGGACACTAATTTAGTTAAGTAGAGAGTTTGTGTATTTTCCAGCTGAAGGTAAGAGCAGTCTGACATGAACTTCAGACAGCATGATGTCATGCCTTCATAGACTCTTTACATATTTTCTGCAACATGGTAAGGGGTGTGAGCCTTTACCATACATTAGTGTAATCT